CTTAATGGGTCTACTGAAGGTCTTAGTTGGGGAAAAAAAAATCCTCTTGCTAAACCCAAGACAGAAAAAAAAAAAAAATGCTACTTAAAACCACTTCCTTCTAAAGGGGGTGGGGAGGGGTTTGGAGGGAACCAATATTATTAAAGGAAGGGTCAAAATAGTGACAAATTCCTTGTGCTGTTTAGCAAAGTAGATGGCTGTTTTTCATTCACTTAACACTTTGCTGGCTGTTGAATAGGTCAAAGTGGGCCTGAAGCTGTTAGAGATGAATTCTTGAAGGAAAGATAATTTTTGAGAATTTGGAGTTTTGGGGGCTAACCTTAGAGAAAGGTGAGAAAAGGACAGAAGAAAAGGAGCCACCAATATGAGCTGGTACTGTATGGGCATCTGGACTAGGAAAAAAAAAAAATTCTGACAGAACTTTCACAGGCTCCCACCACATCAACCCAAAGCCTGTGATTCAGCCAGTATTTTCTGCCTGCTTTCTAGTTACTGTAGCTGAGCTGACCTTGCTCCTATCCAAGGCAAACTCCTCCACTTGTGCCCTAGATCCCATTTCTTCTCATCTACTCAAGGATATTGCTCCAACAAGCCTCCCTTCTCTCCTACATCTACTGGATCTTTCCCATCAGCAAATATACACACTACAATTTCTCCCATTTAAAAACAAAAATATTGATCTTCTCTCCTTCTAGCTACTGTGCCACTTATCTACCCCTTTTTATAACAAAACTCAGAATTATCACCACATACTGTCTCCAACCTCTCTTCTCCCATTCTCTCTTGAACCCAATCCACTCAGGTTGCCCCAACACAAAATTGCTCATCAGTAATCTCCACTTTGCTAATTCCAATGACAGGCCTCATCTTCAAACAATTTGCAACATCTGACACAGTTAGCCACTCCTTCCTCCTCTAAACACTTTCTATATCTCCCTACTCTTCTTAGTTTTTGTCCTACCTTACAGTCATTCATTCTCAGTCTTTTTGTCTCTTGTTCCTCCTCCTCTCCTCAAATTCTAAACACTGGATACCTTTTCTCTTTTCTACCAACACTCTGTTACCTCACTCTGTCTCATTCCATTCATAAACTGATGACTCCCACATGTGTATTTCCAGCTTGAACCTCTCCTCTGAACTTGACTTTTTACCCATCTGTCCAGTACACATCTCCACTTGAATGTCTAATTGGCACTTCAAATTTAATGTTTAAGCTAACCTCCTGCTCCTCCTAAAGTCATCCCCGTATCAGTAAATCACTTCACTCTTCACTTGATAACACCGGAGTTACCCTTGACTTCTTTCTCTTCCACCTTACAGCAAATCTTAGTATTGGCTCCATTTTCAAGATATATCACCACTCTTCATTACTTTCACCACTTCCAATCTGGTCCAAACCAGCCTCATCTCTCACTCATATTATTGTGAAAGCTTCCTTGTGGAAGATCTTCCTGCTCCTGCCCTTTGCTCCTATAATCTGTTTTCAACATAGCAGCTCAAATGCACATTTTAAACCTGAGTTAGATTATGTCACTTCTCTGCTCAAAATTTCCCAATGCCTCATCTCACTCAAAGTTTCTATAATGACCTACAAGACCCTACAATATCTGGCCTTCTATTTCCTCTATAATCTCATATCCTACTACTCTCACCCTCATTCATTTCCATACAAGCTACACTGGCCTCCTTGCTATTTCTCAAACATACCAGTGGGTTCTCACCTTGTAATCTTTGCACTTGTAGTTTCCTCCGTCTGGAATGATCTCCCAGCGTGCACGACTTGTTCTCATTTCCTTCAGGTCTTACTTACAATGTAACTTCATGAGACCTTCCCTAGCCACCTTATTTCCAATCACAATAACCCTACTTACCTAAACACATGTGCATGTGCACACCCACACCCACGCACACAATCCCTATATCCCCTTCCCTGCTTTACATTCTCGGAAGTACGTATCACCATCTAATGTTTACTTCTGTCTCCCCTACAACTACAATGTGAGTTCCATGAGGGCAAGCTGCTTGTTTACTGTCGTGTTACCAGCAGCAAACCAAACCTAACATTTAGTAGGCACTATTTTCTAATGAAGAAATAAATGAAAGGCAGGGGAGTGCCTGAAAGTACTTTTCAGAAAAGGTGTATCTAGTATTCAAAGTTTTCATCACTGGGAGTGTTTGGTTATCTGTGGGTTTTATGTAGGAAAAGGAGTTGTGTCCGGAGGTGAGATGAGAAGGCAGAAAGGGTTAGGAGCTGCTTGAATGGACAAGGGAAATCGGGTGGAAAAGGAGGAGTGTGCTGTCACAGTATAGGGAGCGCAGTTAGGATCACACAACTATGTATAAATTTTTGTATGAAAGACTAATTGAATTGTAAACTTTCACTTAAACTACAATTAAAAAAAAAAGTTGATTCCACAATACAGAAAAGGTAGCACAAGTAAAACAATGTGATGATCTCTAAACCAAATCAATTCAGCACAAAGCAGGCCCCCAAAGCCAGAGACTACAGCGAATATAAGCTTCTAAGGAAATCCATGCAGTCTTAGAAAAGGCTTCAAACTTTGCACAGAACACTGAATAGCAGAGGTCAAGCCAATCTTACTTAGCTTTCAAAAGTGTCAGAGAGATCAGTATATGATGTAGGCATTGACCATAAGACAAAGCCTTGCTCTCTTAACAAAACCTGTAACTGGGGATTCAGCTGCACTCAACTTTTATATTGACCCTTCCCATATTTTTTAATTTACTGCTTCTCTACTCTTCCATTCAAACCAGACCTACAAATGTCAGCAACTTTCCCAAAACTTTCAGGAGACAGAGCGACTGACAAAATTTTTGTTACCTTATTTTAGATAATGAAGAATGAACAGAATTCAAGTGAAGTTTTTTCCCTTAGTGTTTATCATTTTGTTAAATTATCTTTTTCTCTCAAAGCTTTTAAACTATACCTACTGCTAACTTTGTATTATAATTTTGGAGTATTTTAGCATAGATATTCTTTCCCTTTAAGTGTGTAATTTACAAGATTTACCTTATTCTTTAAGTGTGATTTTATTACATCCCAGGACAAGGGTGAGTATTCACTGTCAATTTTTCCGGCGCCACCAAGAAAGCTACTTTTTTTCTCCAAAACATCTTCTTCCAAATGAAGCAGTGTCTATACCAGTACTTCAGGTTTTTCGAAGAATCTAGAGTACAATTATGAATCATGTTGATAGTGCTTACTAGATAAGCACTTCATACTGCTATCATGTTTGAGCTGTAACTGTTTTGTGTACTATAGTTCCACGTATTCATTAGAATGAGGATTTTTTTCCCCTTCTGACTACATCATACTTTATGCTAACAGTTCACTGTGGTGACCAAATCTTAGTCTTCTCAAAGGCCTCAATTCCTGCAGGATCTTGTGCACTATTGAAGAATGTACTACTACCAAAACTGAAGCAAAATTGTAATCTTATCAATAAAATGACAAAGACTAAAGACTAATCTGAAGACTCAGTACACATAAACAATCAGATGAGTGTTTTATCATTAACATTTATTGATGGGATGGATAAATACAGATTGAGAAACATACTTGACAGCAAGATATCAAACTGATAGCCAGACGATAAAATGTATACAACATCCTTTTAAAATTTTTTTTTAAACTTTTTTGTATTTTTTACAAAGAGCCCTTACTGTAATGGTCACTTACATCCTATCATTCATGTAACAGCAGTAGAGATCCCAGGGGTAGCATCCAGAACTGAGGTGCCCCAAGGAGGACAGAGGCAATGGCAGAACAATATGCTGAGAAAGGACTCTTAAGAGCAGTACAAAGAAAACAGACAAAAATCTCACCACAAAATTGTACCTGAGTGACACCGACTGGTAAAGTGTTTTACTTTTTTTTATTTTTCCTTTTTTGCTCTTTGGTCTGATAAGAAAACGGGCAGTTGTAGGTGTGTGGAGTAGGGTGGGGAAAAAAGTCAGTTTCAAATCCAGAAACAGGTTAACGTTAGGCTGCTGCATTCTTTTCTTAAACCAGCAACACTTCTACTTTGTAATCAATCCCAGTATAATCTAACCACCTAATAATGGTCCTCAGCTTTCAACTCAAGACTTCCTGATTACCTGATGGAGACATACTTGTTCTGGCTTCAATTAGCATGCTGTCAAACATCCCTCTCCATGCTTAACATGACAACGCAAAACCCAGTCTTTCGCTTGTTTTCACTCAACCATGGATACTTGCTCAAAAAGGGGAAGAGTAAACACTGCTTTTTAGTAAACATTCTTTATCTTTTCCATCCTTCCCCAATCCAAGTTCATATTAAAAACTTTAGAAACATTAAAATGGAGGGTTCACCCACTTAAAAAATAATTCTCATTCCAGACTACTAGGATTACAGTACTATGCTTGTTTAAAACTCACATCCACAGAGGGATAAAAAGGCAAAATAAAACTTAACAGTGTGGTACAACATTAACATCTCCTAAACCACTAGGAGCAAACACTCAGTTAAAAGCTGGGTGTTAACAAGCAGCAACACTCAAGATTTAGGGAGGTATCAGTCACTGAAAGCTTAGGACTGCAGAGGGCTTATTTCTCACCATCTGATGGGTTGCATAGACTGCTTACATTCTCCTAAACCCAAGAGAATAATACTTGTACTCCAACTTCAAGATGTTCTAGAATCTTTTTTTCTTTCATCAACAAAAGAAAAATCTTTTTTAAAAAACAAATCAGTTCCCAAAAGATGGGAAACACAGATATATTTAAAATCCAACCAGACTGGGATAAGGCCTCTCTAATTGCTTTTGTCCAAAAGCAGTGTACAAGGAGTATGTGTTCTCCATACAGGGAATTAGGTAGCAGAGGCTTAAGGAAACCCAGCACTGATGTTACCATGATTTTATTTATATATCCTAATCCATTGCTGTTTCCAACTGGAGGCAAAAAAAAGTTTCTACCAACAGTGGTGAAGTCAGTAATACAGAATTATAAAAAAGGATACATCAAATCAAAATACTAAAATCATTAAAAAAAAAAAATGAAGCTAAGCTTCTCAGATATGGAAACACATTGATAGATGAGTGGGACGACCAGACTATTTTCTAAACCCAAAAAGCATAACTAGTACTTCAGAAGACCAATTTGGCTTTAGATTAATGCTTTACTTGAGTTCTTCTAATACCAACACAGGTATCTTATTAAAAGGCCTAAAGACAATCCACAGGTATCTGTTTTTGCCAACAAGAGATTCGGGCAAAGTTTTAGGCATGAGACTTATAGAACCGGGACTCCAGGCCTGCTTACCACCATCACATATCCTTAACAGTCTAGGTTAAAAAGATTTTTTTAAAAAGCCATGTTTACTAGACTAACTTTGGATGTATTAATTCTATTTCTCACTCTTTGAAGGTGTGAGGAGGGTAGGGAAGACACAGTTTAAAAACCACACATCCTTTGGGAGCCTTACTAAGGTTATGGAATTTGAAAGATATGCATGCTAATTGACAGGCACATCTGCTAACCCAAAGACAATCCAGCAGCTTCATGCAGAGCCCATAAGAAGGACACGACATATGCATAATCTAAAAGCAGACACTGTTAAGACAATTATCAGGAGGCAATATAGAAAGGTTGCTAAATTGACCCATATCAGCAATAATCTGTTAGTGCAAAGGCCAGACTACACAGCAAAAAGCAGTTCTTAGACCCTAGTAAGCACATTTTTCAGGTTCACTCCTCACACAGTTCTAAGGAACTTAACTACAGTATTGCTATGGAGAACTGCTATGAGGCCAAGTGGATATGTACCTCTGTGGTGGGGAAGTACATATGATTAGAAAATATGTGACATTTGATGAGTAAAAATGAAAGCTGGAAAAGAAATGTGCACAATCAATTTAGTGATCATCAACTCCACAAAGATACAGATATAAACTAAACAGCATATTCAAGGTCAGGAAGGGAAGCAGACTCCACCCAACAAAAACCTGTATTTAGTACACACAACCACACACCTACCAATTAACTAACACACAGGAAACACCAAAGAGAAAGAGGAAAATGTTATCTATAAAAGTGAAGTGACATTCAAGTTAAGCAGTATTACTGGTTTAAGGCCAGCAGAGAGCTCCTCATTAAACAGCATAGACAGTTCCAATATGTATTGATGCAGGATACTAACTCCAAATTCCAATCATCTTTTCATTCTGAGAACCTTCAGTTAAGTTTTATTCTACAAATTCCTTCCTATATTAGGCCAGTGCATCATCAATTTCAATCCTGGCCAGCAGCAGCACACATACAATTCCTGTCTTCCCTATGACTTCTAATGAAAAGAATTCAACTCCCAAAAAAAAAATTAGGTTTGAAGAAAGCTGCATTAAAAAGAAGTCAAGTTCAATCTGCACCATCTTCTCCATAGCAAAACATGCCATAAAGACAAAAAAAAATCACATCAAACGATCTGAGGCTGTTGTTTACAGTTAAAGAGCTCGGCTTAGAATTCTTTCTAGTCCCTTAAAAGATTTCTTTCCTCATCTAAGATGTTCACTCCTAAAATCTGGGACAATCAAACCCTCATACCAACAGGGCTCATGACCCGTTTTTAAAACGACCCACAGAATCTCCGTAAGAACCTCTGTATAGAAGCTAAAGCCACCAAAGATGGGCAATCTAAGCCTAACAGTATCTGTGGGCTAGCCTAGCTCACCCTCATGGCACCAGTACTGTTCAATTCACAAGCTCCAATCTCTGAAGTCATATAGGCCTGTAAAAAAACTAGGATGCTGCTGTTTCCCTTCCCATTTACAAATAAAAGGCAAGTATTACACATTCATAACGTAATTTAAAATACAATGTCCTAAAAATTCCAAATCACAATTTTGTTTTTAGTATCCTCTAGTTCCATAGCTTCCTCCAGAACCATCCTCACATATGGCCTAGGCTTTCACAGGCAGTTATATAGAGCATATCCCCTTCCCTTCAGAGACCCTGAAACTGCTCTCACCTGAATACTTTCCCAAAGCCCAACTTGAAAACAAGACACACCCAATTCTGTAGGGCAAACGCTGGCCTTACTCTCCAACCTTTCTTCAACTCCACCTTTGTTTTGCATCAAAGGGGAAAAGGGGGTAAAAGAAGTTTTATAATGGAGTTGAGTCAGGCTGCACTTGCCCAAAATAGAATTTAGAGGGCTACCACTCAATCACAGCATAAAGAAAGGGAAAAATGCCATGTCAAACACATGCCTCTTCCTTTATGTTCTCAAGGCCACACCATGTTCTCTCTAGTAGACTGTTGGGAAGTGAAAATGGTAAGGGACAGGGAGGGAACAGTAGAACATGATTTTTAAACACACACACTTAAAAACACACATACCCACACTTACATACGCACTAAAAGGTCTCAACACTTCAAGTGGCCTGAGCCTATCTCAGAACTCTTAGCCAAAAGCCCACCCTCCCACCCTCCACACACATCCCCACCCTCCAATCCCACCCCACCCCACCCCAAGAGTCATTGCTATGTATCTCATACACATAGCAAAATCCCTATCCCCTCCCAATTATATAAAAAAACTAAACAGATAACTTACTTTCTTTAAATTATTTTTTTAAAGTCTCTTAAAAGATTTTGACGTTTAAATACTTCCTCTCTTCTGATATATTAACCCCAAAAGTATCCACAATTGTTTAATAAAACCAACCCTCCATGTTTCAGTCCTGGCAAGAAGAGGGAAGATATCAACTCCAATCAACCTAATTAGGAGGTGGAGAGGCCAAGAATTCAGAAAGTGTTCTTAATCCTTCACAGCTTCAACACATTTCCATCTAATACCAATAAAAAACTGTAATAAAATAATTAAGATTTCTGAGGCAGTAGCTATAATAACCAAGACCTTCTACCACCTTCCCACCTACTTTGCAACATCAATTTATTCCCTAATCCCAAAAGGGTGAAATATTTCATAAGGGAAGTAATTTTCTTAGTCCACAACAGTAGTTTTTTTGTTTTGTTTTGTTTTTTTAAAAAAGTGTTTTTTAAAGAAGTTTTTTTTCTCCTCTTCTGTTTTACTTAGGAAGTGGGGGGAGTGGTGGGGGAGGTTCTGATGGTAGAGGTGGTGGCCGAGGTTTGTCTGTATTGCCAGATCTGGAGGAGATTCCACCAGCCCGTGGATTCAGATATTCGCCATACGAATGAACAAATTCAAACGCAGGAGGCTGAGTGGGCTGAACACCCTGGGCACTGAGCAGGGAGTGAAGCATATTCACAGTATCTTGATAGTCTATCGTCTGGGTTGTGTTGTGACCATTGGCCCCACCGGGGCCTTTATCCAGTTTCACATGAGGAACTCGAGTTTTACAGCTGGGCTGTGAGAAGGGAAGGCCACTTGTGTCTGCGCTATGCCCAGGCAACTGGGCCATCGTAGGAAGAGGGGGGAAGGAGAAATTTATGGAAGATGATTTAGTACTCTTGGCAATTTTTGCTGGATGATCAAATACTGCTCCCCCAGTCTCTTCAGGGGGGCCCCTTTTGCGAGTAGAACTGGCAGAGGCGAAAGAACTAGATAAGCTATAGGTTTTGTGTGGTAAGGTGCTTGTCTGACTACTATGTTTTGGATCACCTGGACGTTTGTTCCCAGTACCAGTTGGAAGCTGTGAGTGTGAGTGCTTATGTGAGTGGTGATTGTGATGATGATGATGATTAGATGGGTGAGTCTTGTGCTTTTCTTTGTGCTCTCGGCTCTTTGTGCCACTGTCATCTATAGAATTGTGCTTCTCAGCTGCAGCGTGGACTTTAATGCGCATTTTTATCTCCTCTGGTTTTGAAGAGGCAATTTTATCTCCACCTGCCACTGGGATTCTCATTTTGAGAGCTGTTTTGTCAGCCTTTTCCAAAAAAGGCCGTTCAGGGTTTTCTGAGCCCTCTATGGGCATTTTCAGAATGACTGAAGAATGGCTGTCACGGTGGGACAGGAGATTCTGGGCAGCATATGCATACTGTGACTTCACATTGGCCTCCATATTCTCCAATTGCCTCTTCTGGGCAGCCAACTCTTCTGCGTGCTTTGCACGGTATTCTTTCAGTGACACTTTAGCTGATGGCACACTCTTACTACTCTGCTTCTGGGAGACAAATGCATTTGAACCATCGTGCTGCAAGGAATGATCGACTCCTGTAAGTGCTACATTCTCACTAGTCCGATGACCCTGAGCATGTTCCAGTTTAAAAGGAGGTTGAGAAGACAGCCAATGCTCATTCTGCAACATTTCCACACTGCTCAAGTTGCTGGATGACTCTTCAGTGGCTGGAATGGAAGGCACTGCATTTGTGGTAGAAGCAGCTGACATGCTCATTAAACCTGCAATAGTTGTGTCCGAAGAGCTCTGGGAAATCATGTTGAGGATTGTCTGCTCCGAAGTGTTTTCATCTGCTCCTCGGTCATCTGCTTTTGTTTTCTTCGCAGCCTGGCATGCCTAGAACGAAGCAAATAACATCTCTTCACTTCAGGTAATTAAGTGGAAAAACACTGAAATGGGTAAATTGTACTTGCTGTGGCACTGGAAGTTCTAAAGAGGGCATAAGCAGGAGGCTACCCTAACATGAGATCCAAGAATTATTACCATCAGAAAAAATAAGATTTTCTATCAGTTAGAGCCTGAGCAATCTGCATCAATGTTTAAGGTAACAAAAAAAAAAAAAAAAAAAAAATTGTGCTTACATAAAAATAACTCACGAACATCTCTGCCTTCTATGGCTGCTTATAATTACAGTTAGTCCATAAACAAATTCTGGAATTTTGGTGAGGTTTTATATGAAAGTAGAAGATGAACTATGTGCTCTCAAGCTTCCTTCCAACCACAGGCAAATTCATCTTCTGCAACTCACTCAACCAAGAAAATAAAATTAAACTTTCAGTCTGGATTTACGAGAAATGAGGAGACATTTTAAAACAAATTTCTATGACACTGGAGAAAAGAAGTAATGATTCTATTACTCATAAGTAAGACTGTGAAAAAATATTTTAAATACAACTTTACACTGCAATCTATATAAAACACACAAAATTCAAAAAAGCAGGTACTGCCAGACAAATTATGATACCAGCTCTAATCTTATAAATCTATCTTGCCCTCCACCAGAAGCCAACACTCAGTGACTCAGAGAAGCCACTTTTTCCCCTACGTCTCCACACAGAAAATACTCAACCAATGTTGTTGACCAATGATTGTATCACAAGAGTTGCACAACACAAAGCAAATCCTGCTATCACCTACAGCCACTGACTTCTGGGCTAGTATCCAAGCTATGAAGTTGAAGTCACGATTACTGCATAACTACAAAAAGGGAAATTCCAAAACTAGGGTACACATCTGATTCTGGTATATTCACTGGTGCAGTCAAAAGAAGAAACTCGTTTTGTTCTACAAGCTGACAGCAATAATTCTTACCCTCCAATTCCGAATGCGTTTAAGCCTATTGGGTGTTTTCTCCAGAATCTGTAGAAATTCATGTGTCAGTTCTACAAAAAAAAACAGAACATTCAGAAAAGACTCAGAGAAGCAAAAGAAAGCAAGAATAACCTCAACTAACTCACTGTTTTCATCTGAATCAAGTCACCTTTGGCCATACATGTGACAGATCAAAAACAAGTGCTTTTCAAGGTCCCTTACTCTAAAACTTACCATCTAAAAGTTCCAAGGTCACAGTGGCGTCAACATACTCCCACCAGTGCTTCCCATCAGTTGAGACTGGGATCTCCCAGTTGGACCACTTGCAAGCCAGATGAATGCAGACACAGGCCACCACAGGAGGTGTGTACTGCAGGCTAAATGTGGTCAAATGCAGGCTGACATCAGAGGGAAGGAAACAGAGAGTATCATGAGTTCTCAATTCTGAACCCAAAGCTAAAACTCTCCATTATTTTTAAAAAAAAAAGGAAAGGAAGGAGGAAGGGAGGGAGGAAAACAAGGAAGGAAAGAAGCTAGTTGAGAGAGGTGAGGGGGACACACAAAAAAAAAAAAAAAAAAAAAAGCAAAAAAGCTTAAAAAAAAAAAAACCACTGGAGAGCAAGAAGGGCAAGAAATATCCAGTGCTCTGATCCAACACTCAGTATAATGATTTTCTATTACCCACCTGCTCAAGTAACATTTTCAAATTCCTTGACTGCACATCATTCAATCCATATACTGACCAGGGGGCCCCTCCCCCACAAAAAGAGACTGAGTACATCACCCAGCACATGTATGGGTATTTAAAAGTACTCAGTTTTCTACCATATTAATAGTACTCTATTATCCTCAGAATAAGCTCAGACCTTAAGGAAAATTGTTGTGCAGATTTTTGGTGTGCGTGATCCCTAAATCAAATACATAAGGAAATAACTCTAAAAATGATCCCGACTCTTGCTAGTCATAGTTCTAGGCTACTTAAAGTAATGAACAGATGATCACCCATCAAGTGTGAATACACCTGACTGGTGGTTTATTTCAAAAATTTCCCACATCAGGCTATGAAAATGAACTTCTAAGCCCCAACAGTCAATAAAGGTATCTTTGGTTTTCATGAACAACCAATAGATTAGAAATGAGAGTGAATAAGTCATTTGCTAATATGTTATCTATTAATAATTTTCTTAAGAAAGAGAAAATATTGCAATTGTTAATACAATTAAATACCCATTTGTTTGGAGAAAAAACAATCTTTTAAAATGTAAGCACTGTAGAACTCTCCAAATTAGACGTTCAGTCATTGTCAATGAGCCTCAAGCTTACCTAAATTTTCAGAATTGTGCTCTTAGATATTTTAAGGCAAAGTAACAAATGCAGAATTGAGTTATGTAATTACATAACTGTGGAAAATTAACAAGCACCATGGAATTTAAGGTAAATCAACATTTACCAAAGAACTGCCTACACTATGTATTGATACATATTGTATCAAAGATCATTTCTGTGCCAACGTCTTTGGGTCCTATTTTACTAAGTGCTCGACCTGAAATCTTTCCACATGCCTCTCAAGAAACGACAATTCAACCCAAGTTAAGTTCTAGCCCAAAAAGAAAGGAAAAAAATTAAAATATAAACCTGTTGGTTGCCATGAAGTAAGAAGTCTGTGCTAAGTCCTTGCTTGCTAAAAGAAAAAAAAAAAAAGAGGGGTGGGGAAGAGAAAAGTTATTAGTTCCATTCATTCTCAATAAATATTTAGTACGCATTTACTATTTGCAAGGTACTAAGAATACAGCAATGAATTAGGTAGACATGGTCCCTGACCACCTAATGTTTACATTCTACCAAAGGTGACAAACAATTTTTACTTACAATATTAATAATTGTACTATTTCCAGACCTAGGAAGTCAAGCTGTATTCTGCATGCCAGATATCTGGGTTACTTGTTTAAAATGCAATTCCTGGATATCCTCCCTAGAGTTTGATTCAGTATATCTGGATAGAGGCAAAAGCACTTTTAACAATAACTCAGAGATTCTGATGCTAGGGTTCACTCAGAAACGCTGAACTAGAGGACAAACTAATTTAGAGGCAAGATCAGAATCCAGAAAGCCTTGATATTTTTGAGAAGTGACTTTTGCTTAAAAAATGAAAAGTTTTTAATTGAGTAGTCTGATTTAAATCCCAAATCACCGATATATTATTTAATATATTACAATTAAAAAACCATATCCCTCCTTCAAAAAAAAAAGGCTCTGAGTGAAAAGCAAATTTTTATCTTCCTAGAACTTAAGTCTTCTCAGTATTAGTATATATTCCATCTCTGTTTAACCCTATCCTTGCTCAATGTATACTTTTTTTTAACAGCTTTATTTACATATAATTTACATACAATTCATCCATTTAAAGTATACAATTCAATGGCTTACAGTATATTCACAGAGTTGTATAACCATCACCACAATCAATTTTAGAACTATTTTCAATATCCCCCAAAGAAACTCTGCACCTCTTAGTTGTCACCCCCAACACTCATGTACCCCAGCTCTAGGCAACCACTGATCTACTTTCTATCCATAAATTTGCCTCCTCTACAAGGAGCCCTTGTGGCACAATGGTTAAGCACTCAGCTGCTAACCTAAAGGTTGGCGGTTGGAACCCACCAGTGGCTCTGCAGAAGAAATGACCTGGCAATCTGGTCCTGTAAAGATGACAGTCTAGGAAACCCTATGAGGCAGTTATACTCTGCCCTACAGAGTCTCTATAAGTTGGAATTAACTCGATGGTACACAACAAAAACAACAGACATTTCATATAAATGGAATCATACAACATGCGGTTTTTCATGTTTGGCTTCTTAGCATACTGTTTTTCTTTTTTAATTGTTGTAGTTTAAGTGAAAGTTTACAATTCAAGGTAGTTTCTCATACAAAAATTTATACATACATTGTTATATGACCCTAGTTACTGCCCTATACTGTGACAGCACACTCCTCCTTTCCACCCCGGATTTCCCGTCCATTCAACCAGCTTCTGACCCTCTCCGCCTTCTCATCTTGCCTCCAGACAGGAGCTGCCCATTTAGTTTCATGTATCTACTTGAGCTAAGAAGCACACTCTTCACAAGTATCATTTTATGTCCCACAGTCCAGTCCAATCTTTGTCTAAAGAGCTGGCCTCAGGAATTGTTTTAGTTCTGGGTTGACAGAAGAGTTCGGGGGCCATGCTTTCTCAGGTTCCTCCAGTCTCAGACCATTAGGTCTGGTCTTCTTACTAGAATTTGAGTTCTGCACCCCACCTTTCTCCTGCTCCATCAGCGACTCTCTGTTGTGTTCCCTGTCAGGGTGGTCATTGGTGGTAGCTGGGCACCATCTAGTTCTTCTGGTCTCAGGGTGATGCAGTCTCTGGTTTATGTGGCCCTTTCCGTCTCTTGGGCTAATACTTTCCTTGTGTCTTTGGTGTTCTTCATTCTCCTTTACTCCAGGGACCAACTGATGCACCTCAGATGGCCGCCTGCAAGCTTTTAAGACCCCAGATGCCACTCACCAAAGTAGGATGCACAACATTTTCTTAATAAACTTTGTTATGCCAACTGACCTAAATGTCCCCTGAAAGCATGGTCCCCAGGCCCCCACCCCTGCTACTATGTGCCTCAAAGTGTTTGATTGTATTCAGAAAACTTCTCAGCTTTGGTTTAGTCTAGTCGGGCTGACTTCCCCTGTAGTGTGTGTTCTCCTTCCCTTCACCTAAGAGAATTCTTGTCTACTATCGAGTTAGTGAATACCCCTCTCCCTCCCTCCCCCGACTCATAACCATCGAAGAACGTTTTCTTCTGCATTTAAACCTTTTCTTGAGTTCTTATAATAGTGGTCTTATACAATATTTGCCCTTCTGTGACTGACTAAATTCACTCAGCATAATGCCTTCCAGATTCCTCCATGTTATGTTTCACGGATTCCCTGTTGTTCTTTATTGTTGCATAGTATTCCACTGCATGGATATACCATAATTTGTTTATCCATGTGTCCGTTGATGGGCACCTAGGTTGTTTCCATCTTTTTGCATCATGAACAGTGCTGCAATGAACATGGGTGTGCATATATCTATCTATTCCTGTGAAGGCTCTTATTTCTCTAGGATATACTCCAAGGAGTGGGACTGCTGAATCATATGGTACTTCTATTTCTAGCTTTTTAAGAAGTGCTAAATCGATTTCCAAAGTGGTTGCACCATTTTACATTCCCACCAACAGTGTAAAGTGTTCCAGTCTCTCCACAACCTCTCCAACATTTATTATTTTGTGTTTTTTGGATTAATGCTAGCCTTGTTGGGGTTAGTCAATGTACACTTTTTAATGCAGTCAAATATAAAGAAGAATTTGGGAAAACTCTGGGAATTTTCAGATGAACGACAGATTGATGATATATAAAATAAGCCAATTCTCAGTTTGGTCTACAAGACTATAAAAGGCACTTAAATGCACAATGGTGTCCAGATATTCTTGATATTACTATTTAACAAAAATAAGAAGAACTGGGTTTCATTCAATTACAGCTATTAAAATTAAATTAGGATAAAAAGAAAAGTCTTGCCAAAGGACTGTTAATCATAGAATTAGGTTCAAGTAAAACTATAGATGATCCTCTGTGTGGCCTTTATGAGAGAAGTACCTAGGGCTATCAACCCTAGCATCAAAGTAAGGTGACCCACTCCCAAGACATTCTTAAAACTGCTGTCAGATACTTATGACTTAGTGGCTTTTCCAAATCTGCCCCTAGTTTTGACAAACATATTTAAGTGACTCTCTTTAACTGGAGAACACTTAAAAACATTAATTGTAAGAACCCAACGGAAAAATCCAATGTCAGAACCACTCATTTTGATTAAGCCAGGTAGGTCTTTCCATTTAACTTTTGGCCAGAACAGTTGTATTATGTATTTGTCAACAGCAAACATAGATTTTAAATGGTAAAAACAATTTAAGACAGCTGTCTCAAGTTTTCTTACCTCGAACAAGTTGAGTGCACTTTACCACATGTGTATGTGGGTGATCAATTGTTAGCTCAAAGCCTAAAAAAGAAGAAAACCTGGTTAAAAAGCTAAAGATACTCAAGACATATTTCTTTTAACTGGGTCATCATTAAAGAAACTCACTGCCGTCAAGTCGATTCCGACCTTCTCTTCTAAACTGCTGTTCAGTGGCTAAGAGAATCACACAAAATAGGCAGCATACTCTTTTAAGAGGCATTATCTCTGAAGCTGCTATTTTTTGAGCTAGAAGGTATCACTAAAATAATAAAGCTAATGCAGTCTCAGGAACCCTCAATAATCTCTGAACACAAAATATTCTTTTAGGGACAAAAGAACCTAACTGAGCCTAACACAAGGTTAGGTTCACAAGTGATGTCTACCTTTTAAAGCTTAACCTTGAAAAAACATTTTAAAACCTATTCCTCTTTTACCTCGGGGTTTTTGTTCCTTGTCATCATCTCAACTGCAATAGGTACTGATCACTTTATTCAATCTCAAATGGTCGATTACTTAGTGGAAGATCAGTATATTTATGAAAACTGTTTCTGAATAAGTTTCCCTCTTGGAGCATGTAAGTAAAATTTTCTAGATACAAGTAAAGAAATTCTATTAAGAAATTTATATGATGTTAAATTATTCTATAAGGATAACTGATTCCTGCAAATTAGACTTTACTGGTTTCCACATTAAAATGTTAGTAATAATAAACATGTACTCCATCAGAAAAATATCACTGTCCCGAAATATGATTTGATTGAAGACAACGTGTTTCAACTAAGAAGTTAATTAGCAGAAATTAACTTTGAATTCTGAAGAACTCATCATGTGTATATATGTGCAATAAAATACAGCTATACCAATAACTTCCCAACACAATCACAAAATCTTCCCCTACTAGAGAAAAATTATAGCCTAAAACAAGAAAGAAATCTTTGTTTTCCGTATTTGCTAAGTTCTGAAAGGCAATCTCTCTGCTGAAAATTATACCAATAACAGAACATTATTAGAGTTGCCCATGCAACAGCTATGGCTTGAGTTCCTTCACCTCCACTTTGCTGTTCTATACACTGGTTATCAATTTTAAAAACAAATGCTGTTATCTAAATACATTAACAAACAGAGCATAAAAATCCATGGAAGTTCTTTAGATAGTTTCTACCATTATTTTATCAGGTTAAAAACTGCTAAACCTTGAAACGTAAATCATGAACTCTAGAATGGAAAAAAAAAAATTACTGCTATTTCAAATGTCAGCTGTACCTGCGTTCTATCTATGGTACAGGTCAAGGTTTAACTCTGAGCTCTACAACCTCTAGAGTCTGAAACAGATGGCCACTTTGCAAAAACCTTTCCAAAGGATCTTCTTCCTGTTTCCCATCTTGCAAATGTTAAAGTCATATCATATATTACGTACATAGTTTTTTAAATATTTAAAGGAAAATAAACTTACCTAAAGTCTGCAGAATTATACTTTCTAATATCACCAGATCTTGAACTTGTTGCAGGTAAGCCTATTGGTTGAGAAGACCAAGAAATTATTCCCCCAAAAAGAACAATATATAAAGTCTAAACAATTCTAATAATCCTTCTCAGAGAAACCAAAACAACAAAAGGCAGGGGTAGAGTTAGGAGGCAGGGTGAAAATTGAAAATAAAATCCTTATCCCATTCAGTACAGATCCTCCTTAAAAAAAAGGGGAGGGGGTCACACTGAAACATAACACTTTATTTAAATATGACTATAACAGAAGGAAAGAGCCCTGGTGGCGCAGTGGTTAAGAACTCGGTTGCTAACAGAAAAGTCAGCAGTTTGAACCTACTAGCTACTCTGTGGGAAAAAGATATGGCAGTCTGCTTCTGTAAAGATTACTGCCTTAGAAACCTTATGGGGCAGTTCTACTTTGACCTATAAAGTCACTATGAGTTGAAATCGGCTCGATGGCAATGGGTTTCGTTTGTTTTACAATAGAAGCGCCAAAGATTTGGTACACTGTCAGACTGATATTTTAGGTTTTGAAGTTTGTGTTAGACATAAAAAAATGAAAAATATACCTTTTTTTCAACATCATCAAAATACACTTGCAGAGCCTTTCTACACTACTATAGGCATTTAATCAGTCTCAAACATTTAACTCCTATTAAACCTTCTCCTTTTGGATAATGCTGGATTTCTAAAAATTAATAGAAGAGTTCAAAGGAAAAGGGAATAAGCAAAAAAATTCTCTCAAGATCGGCACTGGCCAGTTATCATGGCCACTAGCCACATGTGGCTATTGAGCACTTGAAATGTAGCTAGTCAAAATTGTGCTGGAAGTGTAACATACACACTGGATTTTGAAGACTTAGTTCAAAAATAGGAATGTGAAATATCTCACTAATAACTTTTCAATATCATTACATGATCAAATGATAATATTCAGATATACTGGGTTAAATACAATATCATATTAAAATTAATTTCACTTTTTTTAAAATGAAGTTTTTAATCGAGTTTAAGAAAAAGTTAAAAAAATTTAAATTACACATGTGGCTCCTATTATGTTTCTACCGGACAGCACTGGAGAATGAGTCCTGAGCTAGGAGTTAACGAGACCTTCACTGTAGTTCTTAACTTTCCACTTGATGATTTTGAATAAATCCTTATCTTTGCCAGTGCCTGCTACTATATATAGTGGAGAAAATATCTTCCTCTAACCATCTCACAAGGACTAGAGATTTAGGTGAGAAATTATGTAAATACACTTTGGAGGAAATAAAAAGGAGATGGTTAAAAAAAAAAAGAATTTTTTGTTTGAACTCAATTCTATGGACCAATGGCATTTATTAGTCTCAGGCCTGGGTAAAAGTCCAGAGCAATCACTCTTTTCAACAAGAGCTACTGGTGTAATCAGAAATGAAAGAAATGGTGTAGTCCAAAGTAAGAAAATGAAGGAAGTCAAGACATTATTATGCAAAACACTGAGTTCATTTCATTAGGGAGAGCTATTCATTCGCAAAAAAAAAAGAAAAACTTTCTCCAATGTGATCAGAAGAAAATACACAATTCCATTTATCAATTTAAGAAAGGATGACCCAAGCATCCATTTTAAGAGATATTTGGGATACAGTACATGAGAAAAACAGATACAAAACATATGCATGTACGCTATTCAGAAAAGAAGCTGGAAATAATAGTGGTTCATCTCTAGGTGATATAGTTTCTACTTTGTTTTCTTCATTTTCCAATTCTACTACAATGAGTACACTTAACTTTTGCCATAAAACTTATATATATATATATATATTTTTTTTTTAGGAAAAAACACACACTGAAATGTTCCTTTAAGAGACTCATTCAGACTTCAGTACTCAATGTTACAAAATTAAGTTACAACCAAAATAAAGAAAAACAGATGTGTGATTAACCCCCTACCTCACTCCTAGTATCAGGAAGTGATTCCTGTGGATGGAGACAAGCATGTGCCACCTTGATGACGTGCTCCAATTTTTTTGGCTGCTCCTCTACTTTAGCTGCTAGAAATAAGGCTGCTGGAGCTACAGACTGGATGGAGAGAAAATACAATATATTTACCATTTAGTTCTAGATCAAGGTAGATCTAAAAGTGCTAAATTTCAGAAAATAAGTTCCCTGCGTGCCTCAACTTCATCACCTCTTATTTATGCTTTTTCATCTACTTAAAGTCCTCCCCGTCCTATCCATTTACCCATGTCCACTCCTGAACAACGATCCTTCAATCCTTCAACAAACTATCCTTCATTAAAGGCTATCTATCCAAGAAGCTAGTAGATGTAAGTAAATGGTTTTCTATTTAAAATGAGACTCTTAAGGAATACAACGAAATGTCCAGAATGGGTAAATCCAGAGACTTTAAACTAGTGGTTGCCAGGGACTCGGGGAAGGAGGAAAGAACAGGACACCAGAATAGTGAGGGACTATTCTGTGAGTGGGTAAGAGTTTTTTTTTCTGGGGTGATGAAAATGTTCTGGAATTAAGATAGTGGTGATAGTTCAATGAACTTGTGAATATACTAAAAACCACTGAGTTGTACACATTAAAGGGGTGAATTTTATGCTATGTGCGTTATATCTCAATTATACATACATACAAATAAATCTAAACAGAAAAAAGGAATACAAATCATAGTGTTATAGTCAAGGGGTTATACATAGAAGGTATTTAGGAAACAAACAATTCAAGCCAATACACAGCTAAACAGCAAACACAGACACTAAATAATATAAAAGATTAACGCAACCTGACATACACGTATCTTGGAGTTCTGGAAAACCTCAGGAAGCGGACCTTTTCTTGAATCTTAACAAGAATAATTTCAGTGAGTCAAAGATGTCAATGGCAAGAGCTAGAATTCACTAAAGGGTCAAAGAAATGTAATAAAGAATTTTATAGAATTTAAACATCTATTTTACTTTACTAAATAGAACTGACATTCTAATATTTATTTGTATCCCTGCTATATCTATGTTGATCTTTCTAGAATAGATTTTAGATTTTATGCCAATTCAATTCACAGTAACAATTTTCTTCCTTTACATTTGTTCCAACTGTATTTGAAGGTTTGAAAATGCTACACATATATTTCTAGATTTCAGGAAAAACAAAGAGGGCCCAGAGGGAAATGGGCATGAACAAAGGTGTGGTGAATCTGGGCCTGAAGCAATGTTTTGAACGCTAAACTGAACAGTTAAATTACACAGATAATGGGACACAAGGCACTAATGATTTTTAAGACTGACACTAAAGACTTTAGAAAAGATGTAGGCTAAGAAATATTCAGGAAAATTAATCTGGTGGTCGGAGAGACTAGAAGGAGGGAAGGACGGGATACATTATGTTAATTTTTTAAAAAATAAACAAAATTCCATAATCTAGACAGTAAAGAAATACCATTTTTACGCAAATAACATGCACGTTATTTTTTCAAACTGCACCCCCCACACACATTATTTTCATAGCGTGCTATATCAGTATTTTTTTACATGTTGCTGACTTCATTTTCAATTTTTTTTTCCGTCCAATGGATTTAATGTTACCAGGATTAAACCGATCTCATGGAAATTTTAGGTAGGTATTTTCCTAAACCAAATGTAATCATTGGTGACCTGAACAGACTTGTGATGAAAATGGGACGCCATGTTGAAACCAAAGAGTATAAATGCATTAAGAACTAGGAATTAGTAAGAAACGATCCTAGGCCTAAAACCACAAGAACAAGATGTTGTTTATATTTTATTGCTTTCATAAATCTTAAACTGAAATATAATTTTTTGATAATCAACATCTTTGAGAGCAACAAAAGTCACTAGAAGAAACTGTGTTTTCATCTTAAAATAGGCCATTTTAGTTTATTCATTATTATCATCATCATCATCTGACTCCCAGAACCTTTCAAAGTCTGATCCTTTGTCACTATCATCACTGAAATGTCTGAGCTGCCTGCAGATGCTCTTCTGTGACTTCTGAACTGATATCATCATCACTGACGCAGGCCTCTTCATCTCTGTCACTGGTATTCTGCTGGTACACAACTTCAGCCTATCTGAACCACTGTGGATGGTTTCTGGGGTTATTTTCCCCCAAGCAAGAGCCACCTACTCACAGACTTCCCGTAAACATCACCCACTTCAGTCATCTAATGGTGTGAACTCATGAATCCCAGGCTGCATCCACTCATCCCACTGTCTTCTCATGAAAGTCTTGAATGGATGGTTGACCCTTATATCTAGCAGCTGCAGCTTACAGCACTGTAAAGCACTTTGCATACCTGTAAAGCCAACAGCTACAACTACCATATGGGCACCAGTTAATATAATTTTGAACGTATTTTTCCTTTGTGAGCAGCCATGGCAGTGAAAATTAGTAAAGACTTCTTCGAAAAGAATCCCACCTGCCTGGCCCTGTAACATTTATCTACCTATACTTTCATAACACACAGTCCATCCCTCTCTTATTACAATCAACAACCACACTGGTGAGCAGTTTTTTGGGGGGCATGGTAACTGTCTTGAAAATCAACATTGGCTTTAATTTCACTCCACTCACAATGCAACCAAGGACAACAGTGAAGCTAGCCCTTTCATGTCCAGTGGTTATAATGGCTACAGTTTTTGTACCTGAAGCAACTATAGCCCTGGTGGCCGAATGTCGAAAGACATGGGAACCTCGTCCATATTAATTACATCCATTGCAAAGATACTGATTTCAGAGATTTCTTTGGTGACAAACTTGAGGAAGTTGACCATCTTTTGCTCCCAGTCATTCAGAAGTTGCTGGCCTACAATGGTTCTCATTCTCACAGTGTTCCTTTTCATGATTTTGAAATTCAGGTGAAACCTGCCGTGAAAGCTCACATTCCTCTCATTTGTCAGAAGCTTTGCTTTGATCTGCTATTCATAAGGTTTTCACTGGCTAATTCTTTCCAGAAGTAGACTGCTGGGTCCTTCTTCCCAGTCTATCTTAGTCTGGAAGCTCAACTGAAACCTGTGTGCCATGGGTGACCCAGCTGGTATGTGAATACTAGTGGTACAGCTTCCAGTACCACAGCAACACACAAGCCCCCACAGTACAACAGACTGACAAACGCTTTGATCTGAATTGAGACGGCTGAGATAATGTAATTTTGTTCCCTTCGAGAAATAATCCACTCTTTCAAGTCATTCTCCAACTCAGGCCATTCTGCTTTGGGCCCACAACGTGCATGTTTTCACAAACTCATTTTCTCCAGCTCCGTTTTCCCCTTTTTCCATTCACAAATGGATGACTCTCCAACCTCGAACTCTCTTCACTGCCGCTCTGTTGCTTGTTTATTTCGCCCCCACGATGACTTTCAGTTAGAAGTCGCCAGTGTAGGACTTTTATTTAATTCCTGCCATGATCCTAAAGAGTTCTAAGATTTAGATGTATAAACTGAAAAAATTGCACAATATAATCAATAACTGGCTGGTTCTAATAAAGAGATCACAAAATTAAAATGTGAGGTGTACAACAAGCAAGGGTCTTTTTATATGCTACCGAGCATATGACTATAAGGTGACTTACGATCATTGATCAAAGACATTGGTGATAATAAGACATAATTTAGACTATAAAATAAGTAGACCTAACACAGCTTAATGGTTTCACTTAAGATGATCTGATAAGGTTTTCACACTCAACTGTTGAGCCAAGAGGGATCGTGCATCAGTTTTGCTTTATTCCTCCAGTTAAAAGCCAGAGTTGGAAGGTAACTGTGATGATTATGGCAATGCAGACTGAATCGAGATTCCTACTGATAGCTGCTCGATGCCACTTATGCCAGTGCAGGCTTTGTTTTGCCTACCCTTTCAACTGACAGCACGTGACATATGGACAGGCTTCACTAGGTTCAAGGTTCCGACTGATGACTCAAAAGCGATGGGGATAGAATTATCAACTTAAATTTATAGAAAAAAAGCACAGTTTCAATTGTTTATTTTCTGATTACCGGAGTACTACCAAACTCGATCCATGACTTCTTGACCATGGCTTATACCTTTATTATACAAATATGATCAAAAATAACATTTTTGGACTATTAAGAGTGAATGAGGCCAAAATTCACTTCTGGAAATGTCACAAGACATGCATGGTAAATGTGTGGGCACACTATGCCAGAATTTTTTTCACATAATTTCAGCATCATGTGTGTGCACGTTATATGTGTGTGTTATCTACGTGGGCACACAATTTGCGAAAAATATGGTATGTATTTTAGGTGCAGAGATAAAAATTCTAAGATATACTCTAAAATGTTAACAGGATTATCTCTGGACAATGGGTTTATAGAGAAATCTCCATCTTCTCCTTTATTTTCTGTCTTCTTTTACTTTTATGGTAATGAAAATACATATAACCCATCAACAGATGAATGGATAAACAAAATCTGGTACATACATACAATGAAATACTACAGGCAGTAGGAGAAATGAAGCCTTGATACATGCTACAACATGGATGGAGCTTGAAGACATTATGCTGAGTGAAATAAGTCAATCACAAAAAGATAAATATTATATGATCTAACTTATATAAGAAAACAAAAAAGCAAATGTATAGACACCAAAGTTTATTGGTGGTTACTAGGGGGCAGGAGAGAGGGTGAAAAGGAGGTTAATGGTGATGGAAATAATTGCATTGATTAAGGGTAGGAGTGGCACAGGTGATTATTGTAATTGCTGTCCATACGTTGTACATCAGTAAAAAGTTGAACTGGCAAAAGTTGTGTGATAGAAATATTTACAACAATGAGAGAAAAAAAAGTACCTGCTGGGGCTGCTTATGTACAATCAAACACCTGATGGGATTTTGTTCCTTAATTTGGAGGTTTAGGGTCATGATTTCATGGGGCATCCCAGTTAATTGGCCTAATACCGTGTTTAGTGCTTCTGTTCTAACTCCTAGTTCGTTGCGTAGTGCCCGGGGACTTAAAAGCTTACAAACGGCCATCCAAGGAACTAAAATTGGTCTCTATTTGCCTGAAACAACAGAGGAAGAAGTAGAGTCAG